TAAAAATATTAATGCTATTATTAGGTTTAATAATAATATTAAAAAAATAGGCTTTATTATTATTATTATACTTAAAACTATAATACATGTTATATAAATTTTTTAAAAAATTAAGAAATTTATAATACACTTTTTTAAAATTTTATTATTAAATATTTAATTTTATTACCCCTTTTGCATAATTAGCAGCTTTACTAAAGGAATTTACTTTTACTTTTTTAGTTTTATTTATAACTATATAAAAAGTTTATTAAGCTTATTACTAATTTTATAGTTACTAGTTAGTATTATTAATACTTATTTTAAAAAATTTAGCTACTTATTATTATAGTTAAGCCTGTAAAGTAGGTAAATTATAAGGTTTATTAATTATTTAAAGCTAACTAAATTAAGGAGCGCTAGGCTCTTTATTTTATTATTAATAAAATAATTAAATTTACCCTTAAGCTAAAAATAATTAATAAAAGTTTTTTTATTATTATTATTATTAAACTGCCTAAAGGTTTTACTACGGCCAGGGGTTTTACTATTATAACCAGGGGTTTTACTACCTAGGGTAAATAAAAACTAAAATATAAATAAGTTACCTAGCGTTATTAAGGAAGTTCCTATAAAAAATAGTATCTTTAGGTTTATTATTTTTTTAGGGGTATTAAGCTTTACCTAAATTTATAAAGTAATAATTTTTTATATACTAGGCCGCTAAATCTTACTAAATAATAATTTTAAATTTAATTTTTTTTTATAAACTAGCCTAAGGTTATATTCTTGTTTAGTTTAAAAAATTCTTTTTAATAAAAGTTTAAAAGCACACCATGCAGTTATTATTTAAAAATATATATTATTTATTTTTATAGCTTTACATACGCGTATAACTTTTTAAATAAACTTTTTAGGGGTTATTTTATTATACAAATTACTAAAGCTATAATAAAAAAAATTAACTTTAAACCTTGCTTTAAAAATTTAAAAATAAAATTTTTATATAATTTAAGTAAACTAGTTATTTTTTAAATTTAGTTTTTTTAACGCATTTTTTTTTAAAAATTATTAACTTAAAAGTAAATTAATTTAGGGCTAATTTTTAAAGCATAACTTAAATATTTATTTTTATTATTAGTTTTTTTTTATAATTAATAATATCTTTAAGCTAGTTTATAAAAATATTAATATTTTTATAATAAACCTTTTTACTAAAATATTTAATAAAAATATTTTTTAAGATATTAAAATTAAAGTACCTAATTTTATTAGTTTATTAAGGGCCACTATTATTACTATTAGCAGAATAATTTTATTTATTTTTTTATTAAATATTCCTGCGGCGGCAATAATGGTTTTAAGGTTTAAATTTATTAAGATTATTATTATTATTATTATTATTATTATTATTATTATTATTATTATTATTATTATTATTATTATTTAAATTATTATTTAAATTCCCTGCTATACTATTTTAATTTTTATTTAGCCTTTTTTTTATTATTAAAAATATTTATGCCCCTTAGGATATTTTACCTAGTTATTATATTATATATTATTAAAATAATTTATATTTTTATTTACTTTAGTATTAATATTAGTATTAATTACTATATTTTCTTAATTTATAAGCTTTTAAAAGTTTCTTATAATATTTTTACCACCTTTATTTAGTTATTTATTTATTATTAATTAAGTAAAATTTAAGTAACTATATTAGCTATTAATAACTAGTTTTTAAGTAAATTTAACTTTTTTAAGTTATTACGGCCTTGTCCTAGGCCCTTATTATAATAAAAAAATTTATTAATATTAATTATTCTAAATATATTATTTTTTAAAAAAAAATAAGGTAACTTATATTTTTATATAATATAAAATATAGTGTAAGTTACTTTTATTAAGGTTATTAAACTTTTTAACTTTTTAGCGCAGGATCTTCCTGCTTTATTATTTTTAAAAGTAAGTAATATATTTTTATTTTCTTACTTTATTAAAAAATTAAAAGCACGCAGCGTCTCCGGGCTTGTAAAAAAAATTTAGTATTTTTATATTTATTAAAAAAAGCTATAGTACAGGAACTTTTAGTTATACTATAATATTAAAAGCTTTAACCATGTAAGAAATAGCTTTTATAACTTATTTTATAAATTATTATAATACTTTCAATATGGCCTTAGCTAGTAAAAATAATATATTAAATATATTAAAAAATAATTAGTTAGGAATAATCCTACTTTTATTTAATAAAATACTTATTATATAATATTAGGACTAGGTAGGGCTATGAATATTTATTTAGGTATATAACTTAAAAGGGAAGAAGCTATTAGGTCTAGATTTAAAAAATTTAGATTTTTTTTAAAGGGGGAAGAAATAAGTAGTACTATATTAATAGGCTTTTAAGTAGTAAATTTTATAACTTAAAAAATAAAAAATATAAAAAATATTAACTATAATTTTAAATATAATTTTAAATAGCCTAGTAGTCTTTCCGGCGTGTTAATTAATAATATTATAGTTAAAAGGTATTTAAAATTTTTTATAATTTTATATTATTTATATAGGTATAAAAACTTTTTAATAGCTAGATATAAAATACTTTAATTTATATTTTAATTTAGCGGGAACTAGTATAATTATATTAAAAAAAGTTTTTTTTTACTTTAAAAAAACGGCCAGGCAAGCAGTTTTTATATTAAGTTTATATATAAAATTAAAATCTAAAAGTTAATAAAAGCAAGCTATTTAATATTTTAATTTTAAAATTTAAAAAAAATAGGCTAATATTAGTCTAAAAGTCTTCTTAGTAAATATTAAGAGTTATTAAAATATATTTTATAAAGCGGGGTATTAAAAAAGAGCAACTATTAGTATTTATTATTATTATTTATTTTAATTTTAAAGACTTTAAAAGTTAAGTAAATATTTTTTAAAAGGCTCCTAAATTATAATAAATATATTACCACTTATTAAGCCCAAAGGGAGGCAATATAATAAAATAGTAAGTTAATTTTTTTAATTTAACTATTTTAAAAGGTAAATACATGCTAATAACTAAGTGCTGATATAAGCAGGTAGGAAGAACTGTAAATAAGAGGAACAACATAATACTAAATCTAACTAAAAACCCTGCTAACCTTATAATATTAGTAAAGGTAAATACTTTTACTTAATACCTTTCTTGCTAAGAAAGTATAAATACTAGTTTTACTTTTAATAAGTATTTTATTAGTAATAAAACCTTTACTATTTATTTAACTTTATTATTCTTACTTTAATAAATATTACTTAAAACCTTATTATTCTTAGCCCGTGCTTTAGCTAGTAACCTTAATTTATTATTAATTAATTATAATATAATATTAAATATATTAAAAAAATACCTTATTATTTATAAGGCCGTGCAAGTTTTTTTTAAAGCCTAAATATAAACTTTACTAAAGGCCTAAAGGTATACTATTATTAATATAGCTTGCTAAATAAAAAAATTAGGTTTTAAAAATTTTTATAAATATACTATATTTAATATTAAAAAGGTTAAAATAAAACTAAACTTAATATTAAGCCTAAAGTTTTTACTTTTTATTTATTACCTTTTTTATTAAAGCAAATTATTACTTACTAAACTAAACCACCTTTACTTGCGCCTGGTTTTTTTTATTTTTACTTTTTATTACTTTTAAAGCTCTTAATATTTTTATTTTTATTACTTTAATATTACTATATTAGTTAAACTTAAAAAGTATTTTTTTTATTTTTATAGCGTTCGCTCGAACCCCTAAGCTATTTTTTTTTATTTATACCTTTTTTTATTAGTAAATAAGGGCGTCCGCCTTTTTT